AGTCTTTGTGCTGGCTTGATGGCTTGGGGCTTCAGGCTTCAAGGTGATGGTATCAAGCTGTATCCTAAACTGTAAGCCTCACAACTGCCAACAAAGCTCGCCATGAACTGAACTAAGAGCCGGACAATCAACAACCGCAGCGGACCCTAAAAACCGCTAATATAGGGGCCTAAATAATTACCAATACTATTTTGGGGGCTCCTTATTAGAATTACAGTATAATATACCCCAAAACCCTATTCCAATTATTAAGGCCCCCACAAGCCCTAGAGACCCCAAGCCTCTAGCAAGCCTTCAGAGGCCTCAGCCGTAAAGACTTTAAACAAGACGAGAACCCTTTAAAATCTACACCCTAAACTCCTAACCTCCTAAACCCAAAATCCTAAATCCTAAATCCTAAACTCCTACACCGGAAACCCTAAATCCCACACCTACTCCCGACAGACCCCCCCCCCCCTGAAAGGCCCTCAATACCACACTCCATGAACCTAAGCCCTACGTAACATGGGGATCGGTCCGTGTGTCCAGCAATACTATTGTTTCGGGCTCGTTATTCGAGTCTGCATGCTGCTATGATAAGCCCCGAGCCCTATTCAAACTATTGAGGCCTATACTAAACCCCGATAGTAGTCACCTTTATAGACACACCTATGGGAACCCTAAACCCCTAAACTCTAGAAGGAACCCTCAGGGTCCAAGTACCTGATAATCATATACTCACCCAGATATTCACCTAGACGACTACTATCCGCAACCAAAGTACCTTGCTGTTGGGTCCTTTGGACCCTATAAGGGGAACTCTTATAAAGGAACCTCATTTAACTACCCATGACCATGAACCTCCAAGTAGAAGGAACCCTTATAAGGAACCTCATTCATTAAGGCCCAGTTAGTGTAGGGGCTTTGTTAACTACCAATACTATTTTGGGGTTTCCTCATTATACTTATAGTATAATGGGCCTTCAAAACCCTATTCTAATTATTAAGGCCCCTATATTATATATATTCTAATTATTAAGGCCCCTATATATATATATATATTCTAATTATTAAGGACCCTATATTATATATGACGCGCCGAGGCTACGATGCCTTCTGCTGTCAGGGGCATTGGCCTGGAAAGGGCGATCCGCTGGAGGACAGAAGCCTGGGCTCCTTTCAGGGGCGGGGTCAGGGTTTAGGGTTTAGGGTTGAGGGTAGAGGTGGTATAGGTTTAGGATTTCAGGTTTGGAGTTTAGGGCGCAGGGTATAGGTTTAGGGTTTGGGGTTGACGGTTTGGAGTCTAGGGCTAGGGTCTCGCGTGTAGGGGCAGGCCGGGCCTTAGCGAAATTTAGGGATCGGAACAGTTCAGAGTGCTCTGCCGCTGTAGTCCCTACATGTTTTTGAGTCATGATCATGAGTAAGTATACCACCAAATCATGCCAATTAGTTACAGGAGGGTTTGGGAAAATACTAATTCCTTCGCCCTAAGATTAAACGGGAGGAGGCCCGATAGAAGCTTGGAAAGTGTTTTGAATTTTAGGGGTATGTTTATCTCTACTGGGTCGTGCTCCTGCTCCTGCTCCGGCTTTTGCTCCCGCGCTGGCGGTTGCCCCTGCTTCTGCTGCATCTCTTGCGCCACCTGCTCTTGCCCTTACTCCCGCTATTGCTGTTGCCTTGCTCTTGCTGCTGCTCTTGCTGTTGCTCCCGCTTTTGCAGCTCTCGCTCTTACTCCTGCTCTTGCTCTTAGTCACTGTGCTCTGAGGGTCATTTGGAGCCTCTTCCCCGCGGATAATTTCGGGAGCATTGGCTCCAAAGTGTTCGTATTATTAGGGGGGGTGTTTAATAAATGTGGGAAGGGACTAGTTATGATACTTGGTTTCAGAACCCCTTAGGAACCATGTTTGCAATTTTCAGGCCTCTGTAACCGACAACCCTAGACGGGTAAACGCTAAAACCCTTCATCATGAAGCCTGGCAATTTCGGCATTTCACCAAACCGGGGACCAACCCGCCAGAAACTTTCGACAGCACATTCTGCTATGTTAAACCCTACACCCTAAAGCCTAAACACTAAACCCTAGACCCATTCTTTTATATTATAGCTGGGATGGATGAAGCGCTTCCAGCCGGCACCTGGCCAACCTCCAGCTCTGATACTGTGTCATCCACGCATCCACAGCATGTCAAAAGTCAGCACGAGTACTAGTAATAGTTAGTGATCTGCAAACAACAACCAAAAGGTATCATGAACGTGTCAAGCCCAAAATCGACTTTGATCATTCAGTGGTCTGAAGAAGCAGTAATAACATCCCCGAACAGTGCTTAGATACTTGATCATACTATACGCTACGCGCTGCCCCACAGCGATATGCTCAGTAGTATGTCCCCGTTGCTTAACCCTAACTAAGCAAACATTGCCTGAACGTCAGCAACAAAAAGGGCAAGCGGCAAGCTGACTCCTCCAAGGGTTACTACAAGGCTTCCTTTAACAGTTTCTGCAAGGGCTACTACTACAGGCTACAGGGCTTTCTGTTGCTGCAAGCCGCCTTCCTTTAGCGGCTCCTTTCAGGGTAACCTTAAGCCCTAGGCGCTGTACCCCAAACCCTCAAACCCTAAACCCTAAACGAGGCTTTAGGGGCTCCTTCTGTGGAGGATCCCTGGATCGATGCGTCGACTGTTGAGCTGACTCTGCAGCAGCTTGGCTTTCACGTTCGAGGGTCGAACGAAGAGCCGGTAGAGAGCCGGCTTTGGGGTTCAGAGGGGGTTAGGGGTTTAGGGGTGTAGGGGTTTAGGGGTTCAGGGGTTTAGGGGTTCAGGGGTTTAGGGGTTCAGGGGTTTAGGGGTTCAGGGGTTTAGGGGTTTAGGGTTTGGGGGCGTAGGGGTTTAGGGG